CCCCCCCCCCCCCCCCCCCCCCCCCCGTGGGGCAGAAGCTTAGTGCTACTGGATCCTGCTGCAGGCTCTGCTGGTAGCCAAGCTCCTCCCCCCACTCTGTCCCCAGCGTGCTAGGTTCCCTCCCCCCCCCGCCACCAATCAGCTGCTTGCCGGCAGGAGGGAGGGGAAGAGCGGAGCCTCAGCACGCTCACAGCGTCCGGGGGGAGGGGGGGAGAGGAGGAGAAAAGGCCGGGGAGGGGCCTTGGGAAGGGGCTGGAATCAGGGCATACCCCCTCCAGCCCCACGGCCCCAGCCCACAACCCCAGCCCTTGGCCCACCCTGACCCCTGCACCCCATCACACCTCCCCAGCCTCCTGACCTGACCCCTGAACCCCCCTCACACCTCCCCTGCCCTGACTCCTGCACCCCCTCACACCTCCCCAGCTCCCTGCCCTGACCCGTGCACCCCCTCACACACCTCCAGCCCTCACGGCGACGGGCAGGCCGCCCCCCCCGCGCCTTGCCACCCCAGGCATGCGCTTGCTGCGCTGGTGCCTGGAGCCACCCCTGCAAGTGATCCATCCGCTGTCGTCCATTCCCAGCTTCTGGCAAACAGAGGTTAGGGACACCATCCCTGCCCATCCTGGCTAATAGCCATTGATGGATTTATCCTCCATGAACTTATCTAGGGTTTTTTTTAACCTTGTTATAGTCTTGGCCTTCACAATATCCTCTGGCAAAGAGTTCCACAGGTTGACTGTGCATTGTGTGAAAAAAATACTTCCTTTTCTTTGTTTTAAACCTGCTGCCTGTTAATTTCATTTGCTCACCCCTATAGTTCTTGTGTTATGAGAAGGAGTAAACAAAACTTCCTTATTTACTTTCTCCACACCAGTCATGATTTTATAGACCTCTATCATATCCCCACTTAGTTGTCTCTTTTCCAAGCTGAAAAGTTCAAATCTTTTTTCTCTCTCCTCATATGGAAGCTGTTCCATACCCCTCATCATTTTTGTTGCCTTTTTCTGTACCTTTTCCAATTCCAATATATCTTTTTTGAGAGCCACACAGCAAGTTCATACTGGCAGTAACAGACTCTGGCTTATCACAAAAATTTTTCTCTCGCCTACCACATATAAGGAAAGACAATACACATTCAGCCTCCCGCAGTACAGTGCAATTCCAAAATCCTAATTACAACCTTAGTCACATGAGCTGGTATTGGGTGTCGACATATCTGCCCAAGTTGAGGGCATGGAGTGTTATAAATTTATGGGGGGGGGGGAGTTGAGGTTGTAACTAGACGGTTTGCGGGCTCTGAGTTTCAGTGAGATGAAAAATCTGAAGGATAATAACCCAGCGATGTGTTATCGAGAGGGCACCGTATAAAAGGTCAGATATTGGAAATTAAGTGTCCCTGTGGCAGAGTGCCAACCCAGATCGCCCCCCAGTGACACAGCAAGGCCCTGCTGCAGGCATACCACCCTCAGCTCCCTCTTGTTTCTCCCAAATACCTTGTTTGCAGTCCAGCTCACTAAGGCTAGGTCTATACTACCCGCCTGAATCGGCGGGTAGAAATCGACTTCTCGGGGATCGATTTATCGCATCCCGTTGGGACGCGACAATCGATCCCCGAATCGGCGCTCTTACTCCACCAGCGGAGGTGGTAGTAAGCGCCGCCGACAGAAAGCCGCAGAAGTCGATTTTGCCGCCATCCTCACAACGGGGTAAGTCGGCTGCGATACGTCGAATTCAGCTATGCTATTCACGTAGCTGAATTTGCGTATTTTAAATCGACTCCCCCTGTAGTGTAGATGTACCCTTAAAGTAATAGTCCCCTTCCAGCATCCAATTTGAAGCAGTTTCCTTTAGCCCCTGAGGCCCCAAACCAGGCTCAGCTAAGGTACCACCTGCCTCCTCTTCCCTCTCCCCCTCCCCTACACTTAGATAGCTTACCTGCTGCTCCCTTTAACACCTGTTCCTTAAAGGGGCCATGTCATGGAAAGAGTAGGCTGACCCCAAGGCCCCTGACATCTTAGAGGAGCCAGGCCACCCTGTTAGAGTCCCATTCTCATAGTCATTGTAAAGCATAAACTTATTTTCACATTTCATTTCAAATCCCCAGAGAATGTAGTCTTTGTTCTCAGATAATATGCTGTGAACGTGGGGAGGAGATGCCTGTGACATAGATGGCAATTGCTGGCAGTATCTTTGGGAGATCTCACTGCATTACGTTCCTGGATCACTGTGGGCCAGGGACTGTCTGTAATTCCATGGGCAGGGTGACCACAGCCTTCCAGGAACTAAGAACACAGGGGGGAGATTAGCCAAATACATTCAGGTTGTAACATCTCCCAAGAGGCTCACATAGACTGGTTCAAACTGGATTCTCCAGAGACCATCAGGCAAAGAAAGGAGTTTTGTATAAATAGCCTGAATTTAAACTGATGTAGGACCTGCTTTCTGATCCAGCAAGCAGACAGGACATTCTCCAGAAGGGAGATCCCCATCCTTCCTGGGAAAGGTTGGAAGGACTTGATCTATTTGTGGGTGGTTGTTCTGAGCCAAGCTTATGAACTTGTAACTGCAAGAAAACCCCAGGGTCAGACTTGAAGGACTGGCTACCTCCCAGAGTCCTTGCTGGAGCTGGGGTGATCTCCGGTAAGCTTATTAGCATGCATGTAGGTTCTTTTATTTGTAATGTTTTTTTCTGTAATGCTTTCACCTTAAACATAAATGTGCTTGCTTAAAAAGAACTGTGTGGCAACCCTCTAAGACGTGCGGTTGGGCGGTCACGCAGAAGGCTATCGAGGGCCATGGAGGTGCACAGCCACAGGGGCCTGGAATAGAGAAGAGAAAGAGAAAGAAGGGCCTGGTGCAGGGAGCTAAGACAGAGTACCTGGGTGGAGCAGGGCTGGATGGCCCCAGGCTGTGGCCTAGTAGGAGGCTAAGCAGTACTGGGGGTTGCAGAGGGCAGCCCGTGGGTAGGCCAAGGCAGCAGGTCCAAACCCAACCTTACCTGTGATGAGTGGCCTATAATGCAGTCTGCCCCAGGGAGTGGGGGCTAGTTGGTGACTGGCAGTGGCCTTATTCTGAGGTGAAGTAAGGATAGTGGATGGGGGTTCCCTGGGAAGGGGAGACTCTAGTACTGAGGGGTGTACTGCCAGGGGGGCAGGCACCCCAGATAAAAA